GTCACTATATACTAAAATGGCAAATGTAATTTCCCCTTTGACAAATATAGCCCCCAAAAAGTCCAATCACCACCACAACGATGGATCATCGCTAACAACCCGCTGTTTGCCGTACCCCTGTAATCTAGTGACGTCTCATTAGGACAGGCGAGCCCGACAATTAGTGACCTTTTTTAACGAGACCCGTCGGGTGAATAATACATTAAACAAGCTAAAACATACTCTTTCTTTGAACCTGGGATGGACACAAATAAGTTGAACAAGTAAGATCTTTGACGAGACAAATACAGGGTGGCCAAAACAGTGCGGTCTAAAAAAAATTTAGATTCCTTACATCAAGGTGTATCTAAATAACCCCCATGTGTAAAGATACACACTATAAAATTTTCAACTTAAAAGTTTAAGTAAAAAAAGAAGTGGTTTCGACCGAAAACCTAAAAGCATAATTTTAATGTTTCTAGCAAAACTTTTGTATCTTGCATCAAAGATAGGAAGGTGATTTTTTTTTTTCAAATATCTGCAATTAATAACAAATCTGTAAAAAAAAAATTGAGAAAAGTCAACCCAAAAAAAAAGATAAAATTTTTTAAAGCCTACTAAGGTCATAGAATTTTAAAATATCACAAAGTTAACTCTATCTCATAAACTAAGAAAAATCGTATCATACACATGGGGATGATTTAGATACACCTTGATGTAAGAAATATAAATTTTTCTTTTAGACCTCACTGTTTTGGCCACCCTGTATAACCAATATGAGTGAAAGGTCAAAACATGTGTGTGGTTTGAGCACTGTTGAATTTTCGCTGGAAGTTATTAGTTTGGATTATAAAATCAGTTTGAAAGCGTGGGCGAAGGAAATAATTCAAATCAATATACGAGTATATAATATTATTTTCACCTAAATAAAGTTTTATCTTGACTTATAATTTTGTAAATTTCTAAAATCGTATTCCCTTCCAACGAGGCGTAACGCTTACTTGGCGTGTACTCCCAACTATTGTGCTAGGAATTGAATGTTATATCATTAGCCGTCACCTACTTTAGATCGCGGATAGCGGCTCGTTCCAGCAGTTTCGATTTACACCCGCTTTGTTTAGCTGCTAATAGGATCCAGATACCAGCTGGAGCAGCTGTTAAGCCGTGTTTACACTTGCAATAAAAACTTATCGTGCAGTTGACATCAACTCACGTGATTACATTATTGTTTGGGGCATTGGTAGTAAGGTAGTAGTAACATTTTAGATACGTATATGAAATCACTTGTGTAAAAAATTTGCACTAAAAAAAAGTATCCTTTTAGAATTCTAATTGCCTTTGAAAACTCTTAATCAAATGATTAAATGACTGCCTAACTGCTAATACTATTTATGCATTTTCTACACTTAGTCTCTTGTGAAAATAGCCGTCATAATATTATGACCCACGCCTCCCACAGCCAACAGCCTTCTATCCCACTTAATGAACGCCCACTAATTAATGGCACCATTATTATCGAAGTTGCTCGGACCAAAACATCAGATTTAATGCTATTACGGGACAACAAAATTACGAAAGAGAATACACGTAGGCAGGTATCCCTCCGACCCACAGTAGAAAGCTCACTTAGTAAGCTCACTCCATAAAATATCATTTCCGCTCTAACCAGACCTGACCAAATAATACTGGTACTCGTACATCATGTAGGTACGTATTTACTTCTTTTTGTCAATGAAACCGCAAAATTAAACGTAATATTGAGACAGTGGCATACATTAAGTATTTGCTATAGTCCGATTTTTAATTCGACGGAATTCTGACAGCTGTCATTTTTTGACAATTCAGATGTAATAAGCCTTTTTTGCTTTGAATTATTAATAAATATTATGAAATGAAATTTCATCAACTACAACTTACAAGAATGAACTATTGTTTGTTGCGTGAATTCAATGNTACAGACAGACAAAAAGATACAGATGTAAAAACTTAATTTCCATCCGGATGAACACTCTAATGGAGCCGAGATAAAATAATGGAGCGTAATGTTATACGTTTAGCGCCGGGGTGGAATAGACCAGCCTTTTGTGAAGTAATTAGTGTAATTTTGTAAGGGTTGAAAGGGAAACGGAGAGATATTTATTAGATACCTACGTACTGAAAACGTAATGAAGATGATTTGTGTTACCGTTTGTTGTTGAGAATTTCTTCCGCTAGTGTGGGATGATGTAGTGTAACAATGGCGATCACAACCAGGGTCAGACTTTATGAACAGACATAGACGATTTCCTGCGTTAGTCTCAAGCTCCCTAAAATGGGGAATTGGGGACCCAGAACCTGTGAGTTGAGTGAGACCTTCAACTCACTTTTTCGTACTTCATACGTCACATGGTTCTGAAATATTGTTAAAATGTTCAAGAAATATTTTCCACGTTCACAATTAAACTGCCGTACATTTCCAGGACTTAGCTAACCGAAGAGAACGATTTTTGTACAGTTGAAAGAGTGTTATAAAAGTAGTAAGGCTGGCTAATGCGCCCTGGTAACGAAACGTCCACCTCACCTGCCCAAGACGGATCGGCCGCGGCGATAGCGAGCCTTGCGAACAACTCTACAGTTATTGTTTTGTATAAGATTATGTCCGCACATTACTACAATAGTATTGTTATTCTTCTTTATATTGTTAACATCAGAGTAACCTTCAATTAATTGAAATAACTGCCATCAAGACCAATGTCGTTATCACAATGAGCGATTACTTTTTTGGGTTGAAGAAAGTATTTTCTCGGAAATTACTAAATGGGTTTTGAGATTGTAATCATGCTTTCATAGTGTTAGGATTTTTTTTATTATTATAAATGTCTCAAAAGTACAAAGAAAGAGAAATAAACCCATTTCGTTACCAATTTCGCCCAATACATTTTATGCATTACAAATATTCTTTTGTTACCACATTTTTCAAATGTTGGCCAAAATAATCGCCTTTACCTAGAAATTTCTGAATTGAAATCCACCTTTTGTACCAATTTCCCGGAAACTTACTAATATTGATTTTAGATCTAATTTGTATGAGTCTTTTGTTCGTCCTTTTTGTATATTTCCTTTAGACCTAATTGTCCGAAAAGATAGACAATTTCATGCTTCGTCTTTGATATAAAGTGTCTGACATCTACCCAGGGCTGTAGGTTGATAAAACAATTTATAAAAATAAAAATTCGGATAACAATTTACCTACACGCGAGTTGGATTACGAACAACTAAATAATGAAATAAATACATTTGTATGCACCAGCTACGAGGGAAAGCTAAAACTCCCGTGAATGTTTGCAATAAAGGTTTCGGTGCAGGTGGCTATTAACCGGAAAAGTCCCAAATTCAGCACATCCCTCACCCGGAATGTGTTTTTTAATTTCCTCCAGCGGAGCGCCGTCATCGACAAACACTTTTGTTTGCGGCGGCCGGACTTCATTAGAGGAATTAGATTTGGCAGACGTGCGCGCAGCCTTCTTGCGTCTGCTGCACGGTTGCATGCTCCGGAATTAGATTTTTAACAAATCTCCCTTTCTGTTTATGGCTAATTATTTTGGTGAACTTTATTTAGTATCATTATAACCCTTAATTAGTCAGTGTATTTAAATTGCCTTCATACTCGTAAATCTAAGTATACAAACATCATGATTATCTTAAAAGAAAAACTTTACAATTTAGTTTCACTGAAGTATTATAATAATGTAATATAATGAAACCTAAGTTACCCGATATTCACATACTAAAATAAATATACGGTACCAAAAGTCAGACTAAACAAGAAACTATTTACACACAGAATCCTGTCCCGAACCAAATACATGCCTATTATATGACAATAAGACGTCATTTTGTCAGAAACAAGGAATAATCAGTCCTCGAAAACGACGAGTGGCTTTGTGAGGGCTCGCGGGAGTCGCGGGGGCGGCGCTAGTCTTTGTCCGAGCGCCCTAATCGCGCAGGCCAGGTACTCGAGTGTTTACATCTCATTACGGCCGCATTACAATCGGACAAATTGGGACGAGGCTAGAGATAAAAAGTGATCTCATTTGTTTTCCTTTACCTACCGACGGATTTAGGACGTGGATCATAGAATATAAAAGGGATTATTAAGATAGAGCTTTTGAATGTGTGAAAAATTGAAGATCGATCGAAAGAAGTCCGTTTAACGGTTAGACGTGTATTATAATAATGGACAATGTTGATCATACTTTTAGAATAATAACAAGTAGTTGTCTATGGTCCTTTGTACTACTTATGTGTTTTTGATATTATAATGATGTTGAGAAGGATAAATAGGTACCAGCTTACCAAGAGAAACACATTTTTGCAACATAATTTCAATTAAACGGTGCGGTCTCTCTGTCGATGCAATTTTAAAGGCAATATTGTTAACGATTTTCCTCTAGTGCTGACTAACAATGTGGTCGCAGAATAAACTTTCAATAAATATCTTGATGAGATTACAGCCACATCAAAGATATTGTTTGATCACAAAACAGTGTTTTAGAAATTGGTGTTTATTGTTCAAATTGCCTTTGAATAGAGTTTATTTACCTTGACAATAGAACTATAAATATAACCGAAGGTACACAAGAAAAATACTACTTTAGTCCCTTCCAGTTATTATTCTAGAACAAATCGATCCATTCCTCATAGCGTAGCATATCCTAATCATTGACAGCGCTATAACTGCTATACCATATAGACTTAACTGTTAAGCCATGCCAGAAGGATTCTTATGCCCATTTTCACCATCAATCCCTAATTTTTAAGTGACCCCTATGGTAACACATATTATTATCAGGAATTTGGTTTTCATAGGGGTTTCTTAAAAATTAGGGATTGATGGTGAAAACGGGCATTAGACCACTATACTCCCGGCGAACCATTGGAGTCTAGTGGTCGTGACACATGTCACCAAACAATTGTTGGCTATTGTACCTACATAGCATCAAGTGCGGCGTTTTAATAAAGCACCATGTTGATTCTGGCAGGACCGGCCGCTGGCGCACAACGCGACGGCGCGCGTGTTCCACAGCAACCAGAGCCTCGTGCTGCAGAAGGTCACGCGGCACAGCTCCGGCCGCTACGCCTGCTCCGCGCTCAACGCCGAGGGCGAGACCGTCTCCAACGAGCTGCACTTCAGGGTCAAGTGTAAGTATCAACAGACTTTGTAACTACGTTCGTTTCAGCCGAAAGAAGTCCACTGCTGGACAAAGGCCTCCCCTAAGATTTTCCACAAAGACCGGTCCTGCGCCGCCCGCATCCAGGCACCTTCCGAAATCTTCACCAGATCGTCGGTCCACCTAGTGGGAGGCCTGCCCACACTACGTCTTCCGGCTCGTACTTTGTATCTCAAAAGGTTTCTAAATCTTGGAGGGAAGTCAAACCTTAACTTCGAACTCCTCTTATGTTCTTCAGATTAATTTCGTTGCGGGTGCAATGACAGTTTAACTTTCCCCCGGGACAAACTCGACCTTCACTGGTTGGGTTTTTATTGGCGGTCAAGCTGTAGATCCTGGCTTCACAGGAGTTACAGTGGTGGGAACGAGAACTACACTTCAAGTGTAAGAGAGAACTACACTTCAATTGTAAGTTCTACAAAGACTAGGAGCATTATACATACTGTCAGGTGCCACAGAAATTAAGCACTCGAAGGTGTTGGTGATAAAAACGTAGAGAGTAAAAAGAGTTAAAGAATTGTCGTAACAATTGAAAACTATTGGAATAGAATAGAGAGAAACGCCGTCAAATTTTAATACTATCAAAATCGAATGGCAATGTGTAACTGTTACCTCCAAGTTAACTTCTGCCGTTTGAAATATTCGCAAAATTTCCGCTACATATTTTCAACGTTTTACGAGTTAGAATGGAAGTATGTGCTCGAGCAAAATGTACGATATTAGAATTTATTGAAATTTGCGTCGCGAACGAGTCGCCGGACGCGCCCGCCGCCGCCGCCCGCCCGAGTGAATCATCGCCGCCCTATCTTGTATCTAGTAGTTTTTGCCGCGCAAAACAATAACAGCATTGTTTGCAGCACTCATAGTATATTCAGCGGTGCGCTTATTTTAGTATCGGCTCCCGCGGCATCGCCACTCAAACTTGCATCAGGACGGTAATGATTTATGACCCGATCTCGGATCCGGAGTTATGGCCGCGCCCGGGGCGTGCAATTTCCAATCTTATTTACTTGATGTACCCGTATCTTAACCGCTGAAAAATTCATTCAAAATTTTACAGCTCCGATAAGTTCGAAACAGAGTTCTAAAGATTAAAGCTGCGTGGGACCAAAATGCAGTCCGCAGGATAAAAATCCAATAATTCTTCACCTCATTTTCTTCCCTGCCTCAGCGCAGTTTAGCAGGGATCCGCTTGGTGGAGCAAGGTTTTTACCCGACTGCGCTAGAAGGAGGGTTATGTTTTTGTATACAAAAAGTAAAAGTAGGAAATACTTCACTGTTTTTCTCGCCACCCTCAGTTTTTTTGTTCAACTACTATCAATAGACAATGTGTCAGTAGCGCCTAGGGTTGCCAGGCGTCCGGCTTTAGCCGGACATGTTTGGCTTTTTAGGGACTTGTCCGGCCAAATATTGCCTTGTCCGGCCTGTCCGGCTTTTGTTAGGCTTTTTATTTGGTCGCCGCGCCAGGCGAAAGTCAAGGCACAGAATCATATGAAGCGCACGCATCAGGATGTTGGTTAGCAACCGATGATGATAGTAGGTACTAACTCATGAGCTGACACTAATTGCACCCCCCCGTCACATGTCCGGCTTTTAAGGTAAAATGTCCGGCCAAATGAAGCACAAAGTCCGGCTTTTGTGATTTTGGACCTGGCAACCCTAGTAGCGCCTGCATCCTCGCATCGCACAACTCCCTCACACAGCTTTGATGAAACGCATGATAAAGAAGAAAATGGTGAGCGAGGGTTCATTAGGGCGCAGGCCCGGCTCCGCGGAGCAACGGCGGGACAATGCTGGCCACCGGCACTTAATGCGCCGAATTAATTAATCGTGGCGAGCGCATTGTGCCGCGTACGCCGCGCAAATTAAGAAGCATTGTGGCGAGCCTCCGCGACACGCTCCGTCCAAACAGATGATACAAGTGACAATGCCATTGTTTCAATTAGCTCACTGGTTGAAATCACTCGACATTTCACTGGTATAGTCAGTTATAGGCAGGACTGATCACTAGTTTTATATGAAGTTAGATCACACATGAATCGTAAAGGTAGGAAGAAAGTTTTAAGTGTACCTACTCATAAAACTCTACTATAGTGGCGGTTCTAATAAATCGATAATTAAATAAATTTTGCATTTACATTTGCGCTGTGGCCGTGGCCACATTCGTGTTCCGCCTTCGTGATCTACTAACTACCTTGTACGGCTTGTACCGGATTAAATTAACTGGTATGTTATTTGAATTATTACATCAATGCTGATGTGTTATGAATTTGATATTTCAATCAGTAAAGTTCTGTACATCATTTTAATAACCTGCTCTATAACTGGTAGTCCGCCCGCCCTAACCTGTGCAGGTGCACTGGTGTAGTACGAGTACCATGTAATGAAGCGATAGATATTTTGATAAAACCTGATCTATGTTATTGGAGTGCAATTGTTTAAATTATTATTTATATTAATCATTTAAAAATCTATTGGAAAAAACATACAAAATAAAAAATCTGAGAAGAGCCGATATTGAATTGGACATAAAACCCGTTCAGTGCGCCCGCCCCAGCCGGCAGTATAGTACGCGCTATCGCGTCCTTCTCGGGAAGAAGTTGCCCTAATTGTTTTCCTCGACGTTTGCTTGACGCCTCGGAAAGGAAGCACTGAATGGTTAAACTTCCTTGTTTCGCGACCCGGGCCTGAATGGACCTCAGACGAGTTTTATCGAGTAATCCGCCTCACTCTCGGCATGTATTCCTTTCGGAGATTTTTCTAGTAGTTATATTGATAGGTATTATGGTTATTTCATACAACATTTTTGGTAGAATATAGAGCGTTTTTATAATGTTTACATTGCTAGGCGAAAATTCCATTAACCTTTTATTTAACCCAGGAAAACGTCTTGTCCATACCTGCCGCCCACATGCCCACAAGTATGATATTATAATAACGTCTACTTGTAATACGTTTGGCAAAAAATATCTAAAATCCATGTTGAGATTTATTAATAAAACCAAATTAAGGCATAACACCAGGTTTTCTGAACTGTATTGTAGCAATCAAACGGAGTAAAAAATAAATTCCGTAATCCGGAACTGGGGGGAGAACAATAAGGCGTCTGAGCACCATTACGGGACGATTTAAATCACTAATTTTTTGCCTCCGAGCTGAAAGGGTTCCTAAACAATAGTCAATTAGTGCGGATAGAATTGCGGTGATTACCCCCGGGGCGGGGCGGGGGAGAGGGGGTGGGAGGCGTCGAAGGATAAATAAGGTCGAATTAAACAAGTCTGTTTGTTAGTGCAGTGACACGGCGCAGGTGCTCACTTCGCGGCTCGTTGCTTTAAATCAGCCCTCGCCCCGCGTCCTACGAGCCAGGGATGCCAGGAGAACACCATAAAATATGGCTACTTCATACAAAATGATGTGTACCTACTTGAAAGTGAGGTTAATCCTCTCGTGTATAATGTGTAAATCGTTAATTAAACTGAGCTTACATCGTCAGGTAAATTGTGGTAGTAATTATATTGTTTGCATTGCCTACTAATATCTACTAAATAATAAATGCTGTTGGTGTACCTTTATTAATACATAAATAAATATTTACCTAATAGATGAAAATATTAATTGGTCCGTCCTTTATTTTATTATCCTTGTGATAACTAACAAATTGTTGGAAACTTACCACATCATAATAAGCTGTTTGGATAATTTTGAATGTATAGTTTTGGTAAACAGTAAACGGAAACTTACTTATTTCCTTATTTACTAGCTTAATCAAGCGGTATCACCCATATGAACTACGATACTGTTACATAAATTACTATACATAATTACCCTTCGTATGTGTGAAAATAGTTTTTGATTAAGTCTCCTCATATTATCCTCTAAATTCACTGTCAACCAACAAGAACAGTTGTATTTACTCGTATTTGGAAGTTTTCTAAGATTTTGGCGGCCCTAAGAGCCCGCACGCGCCCCGCCCCACATAATGGCAACCGATCTATTTTGCCGATTGTAAGATATGGCCCTGACAAAATAAGACTGGCATTTTTAATGGCGCGTCACTGCTGACGGCGCCATGTTGCGCGCAAAACAAATGAATTTGTCAGGCGCAGAGATTAGAATTTAGTTCATTTTAATTGATCGTATTTTATTCGTTGAAAACAAAAGTTTAGAGGCGTAGGTTTTTTGTTTTACGCGCCTGCTGTGTTTGACTAAAGTTATTGTTAGTTAATTAAAGGATGAAACTGATCACTCAGACGAACATAATGAAGTTGATATTGGCTTTCAATTCAACAATTAATATTCACTGGGTTAACGTTGGTAAGGACTGGTTGGTGGAATTTATCTCTGGCTCACAGCTTAAAAATCATTTGGTAAGTTATACATATTATGTATTATGATAAAGGGTACTTTAATGTAATAGTCTGTAAATGTCTGCATTTGTAAAAAAGCTAGTAGTTTTTCACTTGCTGTACGAGTAGCAAGTGTCGTAGCACTTGCTACGACTGATCGAAATACGTCACCGACACTACGAGAGATTAATTGATTGAAAGGCTTTGTGGTGTAAAATAAAATTATATTGTAAAAATAAAATCAAGTTACCTACATTGCATTTAGTTCAGAGTAGAAAAGTCAAGAGAAGAGAAAAAAGTGACAATCAATAAAAAACACGAAAAAGAAAAAGAAGTTTCTCGCCAGCCAGGTGAGCGGCCAAGGAGTTTGGTCGTACATTTGCGACTTCTACCATTTTACCTAGGCCGTTACTTATTAGACAGACCTGTACAACGACAGCGAGTGAAAAACAATGGGTTTGTTGCCAAATAAGGACAAGAGAAAGACCATATTGTCACTCGTGTGCCTATTATACTTCGTTATGCAAGTCGAGAGTGTTCGAGTGACACGCCTGGGCGAACGACATCGTCGGTACGTGTAAAACAATATGAATATGTACGAGGTATTATTTAATCCGTACACAGGGTTGCGCGGTTCGGTTACGAAGCTGCCTTGGTACAAGCAAAGCCAAAACAAGACAGCCAGCTAATTCACAAAACCATCACAAACGCTACAACATTTGCATTCGCAATGTGATTAGTTCCAAACAAAACGATTAACTCATCAAACACGTGATAAATTTTTCGCCACAATTGCAAGTAGTATCGGATGTAGCTCATATTATCTGCACATTTTATATGTTCTGTTTGATTTTCACATTCTGTGGTAGGTAGGTAAATCCTCTTCAAGTTGTACATAATTAATTAATATGTAGAACGCAATAATGTCTCTGATGGATTTGCAGCACAACGGCGCCTCTGTAATTGATGTCGTCGAACACAATCGCTTCAATTCACTTTTGGGTTAATAATAATCAACAGTAATGTAATGCATCAACAATACAGCTTCAAGTTCAACCATGGCTACAATACAACTGTGACTGAATCCGTTTCACCATTTGTCACCCAAAGATCCAACCTGACAAAGCTCGAAGCCAATCCTTGAAAGTAAGAGACAATCAATCATCGTGACCAATCCCAAACTGCGGGAGTAGGCAGCTGGGGCCGTAACTTGGGCCATCATCCGGCAGTCCCGCGCCGTCCGGTCGTCCGGTCGCCGGCCGGCCGTCCGGCGCGTGTTAATCGCCGGCGGCATAATTACTGGCCCAACTCTGCATAATTGCTGCACTGCGGCTCCTACTCCAGGCCAACATTCCTCCCGACATCGACTTGATCTCGAAGTTCTAATCTTTGACGAACTTTGCAGTTTGTGTTAATAGATGAATGCTGAAACATCTTGCTTTCAAGACAGGTTTGCTAGATAACTTTGTAGTACGAATGTATACTCAATAAGAATAAATTTAATTAGTTTTTGACATAAAAAGGTACCTATTGTAATACACTCGGCATCGAATAAATCGCACCTCCCGCAACAAGCACTTTTCAAAAGTATGCATCCTCACTTCCCACCAACATTGGTACCATTTGAAAGCCTAGTTCTAAGCTTAATTTAATTAAAGGAAAGGCTTTTACCCCAAAAATGTGTTTTTAGAAGGATCCAGAGTCACTTCTTCAAAAAATAGGTAGTTACGCTTGAGCCAACTTTTATGGCTATAAAACTGTTAAGTTGGGATTAATCGCTATCCATCTGTTAAAGAGGACACGTGAGGTCATTATTTGGTTTTATAACCATAAAAATTGGTCTTATTGATCCCACAGGTGAGCCCAAAGTGAGGTCATTTTTTAAGTCACATTTATGGTATATGTTAATCATTTATCAAGAAATTCTGTGTTTCTTGTGTTGGGTGTTTTCTATGTATAATATGTATGTATTTACAAAAAAAAAGTATTTAAGTATGTTTATATCCGTTGTCTAGTACCCATAGTACAATCTTTGCTTAGTTTGGGACTAGAAGCGCAGTGTAAAATGTCCAAGGATATTTATCATTATTATTATTAATTAAATGTGTTTTTTTTAAGGATATTTATTGGGCTTTCAAATAACACCAATATTGTTGGGGCACCATCATTATGTCAAAAGAAAATCTTTAAAGTTCACGTCGCGGAAGGTGCGATTTATTTGACGTTGAGTATATTAACTTAAATAATACTTACGGTGAATAACAAATAAAAGCAAAAATTAAAAAGTTATGAAATAAAATTTAAAAAATCTGGAATCTCATAGGTATCGAATTTTGACAATTTTACTTACTCGTATACAGATTAAATTAATGATCATGAATCTTATCTATTTATTTATACCACTAAATAACTGCATTTTTAACTCGGTAAAAAAAGTTGGAGTAATAAAAAGCTGTCACTTAGCAGACAACGGCTGCACCATCAAAAGCGAACAAAGAAGAGACGGTACGACATCGTAAGAACATGTTGTTGCGTCGCGTCGCGTCTGCTGATATCGTCTGACCGCGTCGTCGTCGCGTCGCATGCGTCACCGCTGCCACGCGCGACACGCACCCATAGTATTTACTCCGCGACCTAACTAGAATAAGCTTTTTGAGGACGAGCAGAGCACAAATCAAATCAAAATATTAAAGCATGTACGAAAGATATACTCGTACATATATTATTATGGCATACCCCAGTATCACTGCGGTAACGCGTGGCGCGACAGCGACGTGTCGCGTCACCGCGCGTCATGCGGCGCGTGACGCCGCGGTCGCCGGAAACGCGCCGATGACATAATTAGGGCGGATAACTACAAAAGCAGGATGCGTGCGTGTCTAGCGCGCATTAATTACGCGGGTTTGGGCAGCCGTTCATTTGTTTACACGTAATTTACACCTACATGCCGCATTTAGATTAGGCTGCGGGCAAAAGGCAAACTGTTAACTGTTTGCCACGTTTTCGTTAGCTACACTGTGGTTTGTTTGTTAACCTTATAGGTTCTTTTGTTTGAGCTTCAGATGAGCGACCTTGGTGGTTCTTAGTTAATAAACTTGTGGGTTGTGTAGTGGTGGCTCAAGATAATATCAAGATGACACAAATAAAGTTACAGGGTACCTACTATCGAATGAGAAATTTACATTTCATTCAAAACTCGAGAGTACGACAGAGACAGACAACACAATANACACAATTACAAATACTTAGTTGAAAGTTAACCGCAGAATCTGAAACGTGGCATCTGTAAGCTTGAAACACAAAGTGCAAATGGTTGAAAAGTTATTCGCGAAAACCTTGCAGCACTCCGTATTCAGTGTCGGCTTACCCGCGAGCTGGCGGGAAGTAGGTCGTGACGCGCGCGGAATGGGCCCTAGACGCGCCGCGGACAAATCGAATGGGGATAATCGGGGAATACGTGTACAAGCAACATGAGGCATCACGTGCTGGGCCCGCTCCATCACGTAACGGCATTTCGGCTGATGAGATTCAGGAGATTCTATTATAGGAGGACCCGGTTAATGTCGGACATTTGCGATATTCGTCGCATGTCACCGTTCATTTAAAGGGAATCGCTGGCGATCGCGTTTCTTTCTCCATTTCACTTTACGTGATTCGGAGGGCCGGGGCGATAGGTGCCCTGACGTCACGGGCTCCACAGATACGTTAACATCAGTGTAATAGGCGGCGGCCCATTAAACGAAAGATCCTTATCCTGAACTCTTTTACGGTGATATTGTCAGAAAATACAGCTTATTTTGAATACTACCCATATTTTCGTATAAAAATGCAAATAGTGGTCAGGACATTACCTTTTGTTATCAAAAATTCTTAATATTTATCACATAGTACCCGTACATAGAGGCTACAAAAACGGCATGTTTACGACTTTGGATAACTTTATAGGCACTGTTAATAACCCTATTTTATGTGTTTTAGTCTAGACCGTTTTTTCATACGCCTCTAAAAAATTTACATTCTAATGAACATTACTCTTGTGACGGTAACGACTTTCAGCTGAACTATTTTAAATTACTTGTTTTGCCGCAGACACCCCGTCGTGCCGCAACGGCGGCGTGCACGTGGTGGGCGCGGCTCGCGGCGAGTCGGTGGTGATCGTGTGCGAGGTGGACGCCGACCCGCCCGCCGCCGTCTTCAAGTGGAAGTTCAACAACTCCGGCGAGACCATCGACGTGGCCGCCGACCGCTACACCTCCAACGGCAGCGCGTCTAGCCTCAAGTATGACACTAATACCATTACATGCGCCAGTATTCACAAACGATGCTAGCTTTAGTGAAGCAGCAAATCTAACGCACAGATAGAGCTCTGTGATTGGTTCATGTGTCATGTGTTCCTGTACGTCCACGCGCACTTTTAAACCTCATAGTACTGTGTGTGAATACGGGCGTTAGTCTTTTTCCTTGTATTAGCAGTGAGACTGTACTACTTTCTCATTGAACTCAGTTTGAATGATCTCCTTGGACTACTAGTGCGCTAGACTTCAAAATAAATCTGTACTAGTTTTGAATTGATCGGCAGATACACTCCAGTGGCGGACTTAGACTATGGCACTCTTTCGTGCGCGGCCGCCAACGAGGTCGGCACACAACTCACGCCCTGTGTCTTCCAGATGGTCGCTGCTGGTAAGTTACCACTAACTTGCCTATTAACCAATTTTCCGAAATTTTCTCAATAACATATCAGCGAACTTTGAACTTCTTCTGCAACGGCCTTTTCAATAACTGTTCATACTAAAAGTGAAGTGTGAAAACGTGGTTTGTGTGGCACTGCTATCCCATACCAAGCTGATGATGTAGCTGTAGCTCTTCTAAAATTTTCAATGGTGTCTATACCCTGGAATAATCTACCGTCGCGTGGTCTGTGCCTGGCAGTCTGGCACCCACACATGGCTGCTTAGGCTCTCAGCCGTGAATTTTCCTGCACGCCCAATTTTCAAGAAGAATGAACAATGGTTTCTAAATCGGCTCGCAGGCAAGCCGCACCCGCCGCGCAACTGCTCGCTGTGGAACCAAACGGCCGACTCGGTGGAGGTGTCGTGCGTGGCGGGCTTCGACGGCGGCCTGCCGCAGAAGTTCCTGCTCGAGGTGTACAACACCGACAGCAGTAAACCGAGGTATGTCCACATTTTTCTTAATGTCAGTCTTTTGTCATTAGCTTTCGTCTATATTTGTTCCCCAAAATTATTGTTGCCTGCGTTTATTTCTCGATTTTGTTATGTAATAAAAATAAGAATATTTTTATATGTCATACTTGAGGCATAAAAAGGACCACATAAGGAAAAAGTCTGACACATCACTTTGGAGCGTCAACACCAAAAGCAATTGCGTCCTCGAGTATGTTGACAAAACAACGTTGATACGAGCAAAATAACTCGGAATTAGCGTGCTATTTTTAAGCTCCTCCTATTCGCGTACACGAAAATCTCAGATTCATTATATTTTCAGGGAGCAAGTACAAAAGCAAATGCGTTTCATATTAACCGTAATCATTTTCTTTTTTGAACTCACCTGCCGCACAATAAAAGGAAGACATTTTAATAATACGACGGCATTTGTGTTTTGAGTCGCCGTGAAATGAGCCGGGCGTGTGCGGCGGGCGGGCGCGGGGGAGCATTGTTTTTAATATTACGGGGCAATCTGCCGCGGCCGCCCCGGCGCGGCCGGCGGGCGGCGGGCGTAGGGTTGCCAGGTCCAAAAACACAAAAGCCGGACTCTGTGCTTCATTTGGCCGGACATGGACAGGCCAACTAAAAAGCCTAACAAAAGCCGGACAGGCCGGACAAGACAATATTTGGCCGGACAAGACCGTAAAAAGCCAAACATGTCCGGCTAAAGCCGGACGCCTGGCAACCCTAGGCGGGCGGGCTGCTCACGTCGCGGCGACATTCCGCCACTCACCGCCAACTTGCTTATTGTTTTTTCTCGGCCACTCTCGTAAAAATATCACGTCAACAAAACCCACAGAGGTAACACCGTTATCTCAATGAAAACGGGAGTGGGGCATCGGTTTAACTTGAGCCATTGCTATTTCCTCGATTTCACAGACTATTTCCCAATCTTACTTAAGCTACAACTTTAACAGAATAGGCACACTTTTTTGACCTAATTATATTAAGAAGGACGTCATAATACAACAAACGCAGGTAAGTATTTCAAAGTGGAAATCCGTGTAAACATCGAGGGCTCATTAAAGTTGCCGAAACAGCGTTAATTATGAATTAGCCAGTGTCGCTGTCGCCGGCTCGACTCCGACGCTCCTTGTATTTGTTCCCGCGCTCGAGTGTGAAGGGATGTTTCCTCACATTTTATGGTATTGCCCCGGTTTCAAGGCTCCCTGAACATTACATTTCATGTCATACACATTAAATAATGGTTCCTGGAACATTGAACATTTTAGCTCAGGCTCAAGTTACCACATTCCTGGAAATAAAGTAAGTAATTGACGTATAAACGATTCAATACGAGGCCTACTTGGCATGCAATGAATGTCCGTGACATGTACTTTTATTGCATTACTGTCCTAATCTTCAAATGACAAGAAAATAATTTTAAGATTAGGTCTAATTTGTTTTTAATTAACTAGTTAATTAAAATACCTCTTCTTTGCTTGAATATCGTTAAAAACATCTTTATCAAACTCGCAATAAGCAGCCGCAGGTTTTATACACTAAAGCGGAACCACTAGGTTGCTAAAACTGAGTACGAAAAAAGCTAGAACCGATTAGCACACTTATTACATTGAATATTCTAAGTTTAAGACATAATCAAGACCTATTATACAGTGTGAGTCACGTTAAAGTGTACATATGAAAATAGATGAAACTAGACCTATTTTTATCGGCAAAAAAGAGGTCAAAAAATTTTTGAGATTTTTTTTTAATTTTTTATAGAATTTTTTTCTTCCAATTACTTATTGTAAAGAAAACGTAATAACTTTTAAACTCAGCGGTATATCCTGATAAAACAAAAACAGTAATAATGCTAAATAATAGGCGATACTAAAAAAATACATGAAATACCTAGAAAATGCCAAAAAATAATAAAAAATGATACTTTTTTAAAAAAAATCTGCTTAAAAATTCGTATTTTTTTGTTTATTTGATAAATTTCTCCAAAAAATGCCCCTATAACAGGTGGTTTTTATTACTTTGTGTTATTCACTATCGTATTACCTTTGTAAAACCAAAAATCGCATGTCTCTATCCCTATCATAACATTTGCTATGATCGTTTGAACTAAGCCTCTCCGGGCGCGCCATTCAACGCTTCGTTAACAACGGAACTGAAAGTGACTCTAGATTTGTAATTTTGATAAATACAAGTTAGATTTTAAATAAAAACAAAAGATTTCGAAGTAAAATAAGCATTTGAGTTAAAATTATAATTGTCTCTACCTGTAGCGGAGAAAAATGTGGTGGCAGGCCTTTGTTCAAACGATCATTGCAAATGTTGTGATAGGGATAGAGACATGTGATTTTTAGTTTTACAAAAGTAATACGATAGAGAATAATAAAAAGTAATAAAAACCATCTGTTATAGGGGCATTTTTTGGAGAAATTTATCAAATAACCAAAAAAATACGAATTTTTAAGCAGATTTTTTTCAAAAAGCATCATTTTTTATTATTTGTTGGCATTTTTTGTGTATTTTTTGTATTGTTTTAGTATTGCCTGTTATTTAGCATTATTACTGTTTTTATTTTATCAGGATATACCGCTTAGTTTAAAAGTTATTACGTTTTCTTTACAATAAGTAATTGAAAGAAAAAAAATTCTATAAAAAATTAAAAAAAAAATCTCAAAAATTTTTTGACCTCTTTTTTGTCGATAAAAATAGGTCTAGTTTCATCTATTTTCATATGTACACTTTAACGTGACTCACACTGTATTATAGTCTTGACGTTGACAAGGACATATTCCAGCATACATTTCGGGTTTTTAAAAATAAATTAAGAAATGCTGAATAGATTGTTGGATTAGTTGTTGTTGTAGCTAACATTCGTTTTTGTTGTTTTATCTAAGCACTTAAGTTATTAGGCATAGTTGTGTGCAGTTGTAATTGGTCCATAGATTTGTAAGTGATTTGTAGCTGTATTTTTTACTAAATAAGTAGTATTCTATGTACTGTAACTGTACATATTAATAAATAAATAAATAAATAAATAAATTATCGGAATATTATCGAGTCAAATATCACCTATTTCAAATTCTTATTTGAAATAGGTGATATTTGACTCGATAATATTCGTAATTATCGAAGCGTAAGCGTGGGTAAGCGTATTTCTCGGCGGTGGCTAGTATATTTCTTCCTGTATGCACTCCTAGTTGTTTTCTTTCATTCAGGGCTCAGCTTTTGTTTACATAATTTTGACATGATTTTTACCGAGAATTTGAGTGGTTTGTTTTGGCAAGAAAAACAGCGAGCCGTCGCCGAGCGATTATTCCGGGCTATCTCTGGTAACGGCGCGTCATTTTTATCCGCGATCGTTCGCGACGTCGCGCCTTATCGCCGCGCACTTATCGCGCGACGTTAACACGCGGACAATGATCTGAAGATTTACGAGCTGCCGTCCCCCGGGACGAAACAAAGCTAGCTCCAGGACGAGACGGTTTGCTGTGATATTTATGACTGGCGAATGAAGTGAAGAGTTAAACCACAATTTTGCCAAAGCTAGGGAGCTCTACTGTGCAATTTATTTTTGGTAGCGAAAGTAGGTACACTATGCGGGAAATTGGTCGAGTCGTAATAGTGTAAACACGCATCTCTCGGTTACTTTCTCCTTCCTCCACCCATCTTCCGCCCATACTTCGGTGTGCGGGCTCGCGCTTCGTCTCAGTCATTTCCCGCATAGTGAACTTGCGCCATGGAAAACTTAAAATATTAACTAACTCGCATAAAATATTTTAACTACATTAAAATTTATACTCGTAAGAATTTCCAGGAACTACTTAGGTACATTTCATTAAGTTCAAAATTAAAGATGTGTTAGTATTTTTCTCTCTTTCTATTAACATTCTGATTAAATAGGTACCTAACAACTACCAAGTTGGTAATTGTACCAACACATTAATTTCAATAAGTAGCTATTTTCTATTACCGCTTCAATAAAATGAAACAAATTGCACATTTGTGTACCTAAGCTTAATTAATTGAACTTGAGATAGAAAAATTGTATTTAGGGAAAGAAATTTATTGCACCTATTTGTCTTGATTACGAAACAGTTAAGGTAAACCAAAGGAGCTGGGCCCAGGGGAAATATCTGTTCCCAACAAATATTTACCCTGGTGTGGGATCAGCTCCTGCATCCAGGGCGCAGGCCGGCCGAAAGTAATTACAGTAAATCAAATGAGCGTCGTGTTGAACTCCCGAGCGATGCCGGCGATAATAGGCCGCGCGTAAGTGTGCATGATTATGATCATGATCATGATTATGATCACGATCATGATTATGACGCGGCCTCGAGGGCGCCGTACAGTATATCTAACGCACAATTAACAAAGCCATAGAATCTCAAGGCTACGTTGATGTTTATGTCTCAAATAAATACAAATAAGACTGGCTTTTGTCAACAATCGTATTAATCTCATAAGACATCCAAGCGATCACAGAACTACCCAGTCTATCCTTGTAGTTACATACTAATTCCAATAACAAGAAATAAACCGTTGAATTCAATACGTCAGCGGGAGTGCTCGGTTCCGATAGAGCAGTGGTTCCCAACTGTTCCTGGACCAGAGATCGCTTTGATTATTTCGTTGTTTATGTTTTTAACAGGGACCATGCCGTACAAGAAAAATAAACTAGATCAATCCAAAATGCATCCTCCGTACGCGTAGTTTAGTACCTTGATATTAATATTCTCCTCCATTCTTACGTATATCTGTTGCTTTTATAACATCTTCCAATCTTCGAAATTGTCTTCTTCTTTTCCTTTTTGTATTTCTGGAATACCAGAACCATGGTTTCAGTCCATTTTTATATGCCCCTGATTATGTAACGTATCCATTTCAATTTCCGTTCCGTCTTAATCTACCTTCGTGCGTTTTCTGGTGCTTTGTTCCATTATCATTTCTCCTAATACTTAGCATGCTCGATGCTCCTCTCTATCGCAGCCTGGTAGGTTAACCTTAAGATTAATTATTTTACAAGGCCACCCACGACGAATTTGGAAATCGTTTGCCGGCCACATTTTGACTGCTGTTGACGGTTGGGAACCACTGCGAAGGAGCGTTCCTCGCGAGTGCAGCGCATCATTAATCCGCGTCCAGTTCTTGCGCGCGACTGCAGCGATCCATCGCGATTGTCACTAGTTACTGCTGCTGCTTGCGGAGTGCTCCGAGCGCAGATGCAACATTGTTAGAGTTATGTGACTGCTTGTTCTTTAAAAATGTACACATTCTTCAGTGTTAAACAATGTAGAAGACCATTGTGACACCTATTTCATAAATCTTTGATTTTTATGTCGTAATAAATAAATAAAAACCGATCCAACTACATATTACAATAATAAGAACGCAGAATGATCCTGTTTCTTATTCGATAGAGTCGATAAATAGGATATAATTAAATCGAAAAGATTTTATAAACAGTCACTTAGAATACGACTTCAGCATTAGTGTTACATGTAAAGTCCAGTTTATTTTGCACAACTATCTATCACTGCCAAAGATCAACACTAAAAATACAAATTAAAACCGATGCTCGGTTTAAATTTTCGTGTAGTCAGTTGGGCGTCACGAACTATTTGTCGCTATGACTGTCCACACCTACCTATAAAATGAGTAAATCGTTTGCTAACTGCATCGTACATCCTGCAGGGTGAACCTGACGTCGGAGGAGCCGCTGTGGACGGTGCGCGGGCTGGAGTGGGACGTCCGCTTCCGACTGGTGGCGGTGGCGGTCAACGCCAAGGGCCGCTCGCAGCCCGCGCGCCTAGACGACTTGCTCTTCAGGGATCCAGAAAAACGAACAGGTATGTTCATTTGTACCTTGGCCTTGGGCTACATTATCAACGATATTTTTTTTTATTTTAAATGTGGTGGAGAATACTTCTTCTATCGTGGTGATACCATGAACCGTATACTGGTGTTAGACTTTATAAAGATATGCGTTAGCCACATGTACGTGGTAATGCTTACGAGCTAGAGATGCCCCAAAATTTGAGTTAGTTTTGTTTTCGATAAAAGAGTGGTTTTATAAATAATTAAGAAAATCAGGATTTTTAGAAAGAAATTCAAAATAGCTAAGTGAGTTTACTCATGTAGGTACCGTTCAATGACTCATACGAGTAATTATAAGAAAAGACTAACGAAAGCAAAAGAGCTATATTTAAATGTATTTCATGATCATTTGAGTCTCCCGCAGAAACTTAAATAGATAAAAACTCGTGTGCAATTTTAACAAAACTGGAAATTACCTACTTAACTAAATGAAAGTTACCCTTTCAAAAAAATATTCAACAACACAAAAGGGGCGTAAAATTTACATACGGAATTGACACTTTCAGCCTACTTTCCCCAATGTTTCCCCAATTAGCGCGAATCTGCATAGCCTTACTGCCGGCTACAGCTGGCGGCTGCAATCGCAATATCTATCCACTCTCAAGATTGCAATTTTTTCCCGCAACTGACGCTTCTTTATTATATCACGCCATAAAAGCCAGCGCTCGCCGCCGCACGACTTCATATAAAACGAATACCCATATATTAGATTAGTATTTCAAGCTGTTTTGACATGCATGGATATAGAATTGAATAATAAATAGAAATAACTGTAATTTCTGTGATTTGTGTAATATCATATTTATTCAAGAATGTTATTCAACATATTATATTAATTTATAATATTACTTCTAGTCCCTATCAAGAGAATTATAGGATGACTGAAAATTCTAAGATTCCCATATCCCATACAGTAGAGCCAATACTCATTATTATACTATGGTCGAGCCAACAAGTAGCGGCCCAACCTGGCGCGCTATCATTAGCTCGGAATTGAAACATACGAATCGCACACTTGTCTATAACTAGTTTTTGTTCTAAATCACTCGGCGAAACTCAATTTGGAGGGCAAGGAAGCGGCGGTCCCGCGGGACGCACGCAGCCGGAGGGCCGCGCTAAGTGCTGCCGGAGCGGCCTTTATCCTGCGCGAATTATTAGCCGAGGAGGGAAAACATTAGCCTCTCCGGGAAAAATATAAGTAACAAGGAAAAGTGGCGGGTAAAACGCTCGGAAGATTTGATGTCGGGCACCAGTCGAGCGCGTCATGACTTCCCCACTTTAGCGCGCGACATCTCGCGCTGACGGCGCCCCCGGCCACAGACGTTGCAAACGGTTATTATTTAATTTTTCTCATAAGACGCATCTTAGCACCTCATTCTTAATTGAAAAAGATTATCATGCAGCTCTCAGTAAGATATTCACGTCTGCCCTTCTCCAGAGTGTTGCGTGTCATTACCGCGCGTCGTTATGTCGTCGTCTATTAGCATTTTATCAATTTAGGGCAGCTGTTAATGTAACATGTTTTTTAATCACTTAGTTTACATTGTGTCATGCATTTAACGACCGCTATAACATGGAGTCGTAAACTATATCATACAAATGACGGTGCGAATAACATAATTTATTTGTAGAGCTGAACATTACATACATTAAGGCGATTACTTGGCCGAACGACCTTGAGCATTAGAGCGAGACAACGTGTCTCTCACCGCGCGCCCGCGCTTCTGCCCGATATCAAAGAGCGCTCAGAATACAGTTGCGACGCGCTGCGAATTCTAATTTAACTGCCTACCGGAATGTTGACTCGATTTTAATTTACGCAGATCAAAAAAATTTGCGAAGCTTATTTTATGTTTCAAAAAAGAATTAAAAAAAATCTATCATTTGGTGAAAGAATCATTAAAATCGCTTCAGCCGTTTAGGAGTAGTAGGAAATTTATTTGGTGAAATTAGAAGAAAGTTAAGAATTTTTTCTGTCAAAACTAATAGTTGTAACAAAAAAAACGAACAACAATTTTTTAGTTTAAGATATCATACATCTCATACATATTTTTTTTTCTTGTTTGGATCATCCATTTAGGAGGAGTAGGGATTCAAAGAGAGGTCTTTTTTGCAGTTTTGCCTCACCTATCGCCTTAATAAAAATTAAAAGATACGAGAAACATGGGTACGAACGCCGCTGGACTGTTGTGGCACGGTTGTGGTGTATCAACTCGAAACACACTATTTAGCTTACCTTGAAGGGGGCTATTAGTAATATTTATTTACGAACGCCTGCCAACACAGCGTCAACTACAGTTAAACCGATTCAAAGGTAAGTGTGCCTACCATGAGTTTACGTTAGGTGAGCTCGCTAGCGAATACGTCAAAAAATTCTATGAAGATTTTATTTCTTGAAAGTAGCCGCTAGGGGCGCTGCACAATACGTCATACATTTAAATGTCATTTTTTTACGTAGTCGCTAGCGAGCACACCTAACGTAAACTCATGGTAGGCACACAGTTCTACGATTCGACGTAGCAGGTGACAACTTTAATTCACATTATCGAAAAATCACTGATTACACTTTAGTCCAGTTCGAGAACTATGCAGACAGTGTAACCAATTACCCGTAAATTCAGGGCGGTGGTCAACGCAGAACTATACACTTCAGTCAATAGACTAGCCCAAGGCCAATTCTCCGAATTGACTTCAGAAATTATTAATCTTTAACTATATTAAGAAACTATGTAGACAATGTAAGTGCCCATCAACGGAGGGTGCTGGTCAAGGTGGAGAGAACTCGTGGGTCACTAGAGAGCCGATTCTCTGAACTGCCGTCCAACATAACTTTATAGATTAACTAAGCTTCAGCCAAACCTGGGGAACTATTTGGACTATAAGTGGTCGCCAGCGAAGGCGCCGGTCACCGGGGCCCGCTCGGCGGATCGATGCGGTAGGCACCGCCTCAGATAATCCCATTTTAATTAAACCACCCGGATTTACCGACAGATTAATCGAGGGCCTCTCAAGAGCTCGGCTTCACCTCAGACACAGCTCGAAATTACCGACCAAGTCGTTTCAAACAGATCAGGAAGTGTACATTACTGAATAAATGATATCCACAGCAAAAACCATTATTATTTTGACCATTCAATCGTAGCGTAGTACACAGTTATTTCAAGCACAAATACTTTATGATATTTTTTTATAAAATTGGCACCAAACATCAAAGTCAAGTTGACGCCTAAAGATAAGTGTTGTTTGGCGGAATAAAAACTTCCCAACTGGGTGCCGAGTCGTCCTAATCGTCGCCAATTTGCCAATCTTGTCATTTATGTATTATGGTCGTTATCGGTTATCGGTTGTACCTATAGTCTTACTCGTAAGCTGGTTGTTTTTCCTGCGCATTTCTGGGGCAAGCCTCAGTTATATTACACCACAATAAAGAAAGAATTCGACTCATTGTGTCGACTGTACAAAGAAATCGTCGAGACTCGAGATTCCTGTCGCCGTAATTAGCCGGCTCGACGTGACACTTGCCATAGAACTCTAAATACAAAAGCACAGTTAAAGCGCTTTTTTATTACTCGTATTAAAGTAATGGCTTCTGCATCACTTGCCACAAACTTACCTACATTATAGTCAAAGCTTTTTATTGTGATCATTAATTCAAATTCTTTATAAGTAGGTACGTAGGCCCTTTTCAAGTACAATTTCAATAATTTTATTTCATTTTTATTGTAAATTTGCATTGTAATGGCCAGAAGCAACAGACACTACACAGCATTAGGTTGTATATTTGATTAACCTAAAGATTTTATTAACTCGAAAACGCGAATGAATAATTATATTTGATTTGATTTAAGCGAAATCGCGAAGATTACAATAAGTACCGCTTGTAATCTATAAAAGCCACAGTTCTCACGTTTACTTATTATGTTTAATGCTCTAGTTAAACATAGCCATTTCCTAAATTGATATTAAGTGTCAAATTTCATAAATCTTGAAATATATGAACTCTAATCGGTGCTCCCCAAACATGGGATCATTTCCGCCCAATGGGCCGGTTGATAGAAAAAGCGTGGCGTCCGCTAGTTAGCCCACGTAATGGCGCGTAGGGCGGGCGGCGCCCAATCTCGCGCGGCGGGCGGCCGGCGGCGGTCTCCACCACGCACCTATTTCGCCTAGATAAACTTAATAGTAAGTATAGGATAAAAAAATATGTAACGCAAGACATAAATTTTTCTGAATTAAGCTCTAAAATTACTTATTCATTTATCAAAGCATTTCCAAATGCAGACATTGGTCGACAAGGATCTCATTAGACCACCGTTTGACACTAGTTCTTTAACCTGCTCAGTAAAAGCTTCTTTACGATACGAATAGACTCAATCCACGTAATCTATAAGATAATGGCCAGGTTGTTTTTAGCTATACTAAAGTGACTGTTTGATAACTTTAAGTCTTTATTTTTTCATTAATCTGTTAATATTTTGTGATGAATATTTAAATATACATCCACATATACCTGCAATCCATTGAATATTACTTACATATCAATGAAGGCGAGCAGAGCCACTCGTTCGATTTAAATCTACCTTTTGGCGATTCCAATAAATTTACCTTTGATTTATGCTGCATATTTACAACTTTTCGTACTTCTTGTTACTTAAATGGATGAAGTAAAATTAAATCATTTTTAAACATGCATATTTTTTTACTTTACTTGAACAGTGGTTACACAGGTGGTTATGAATACGGAATAATTATAAAATGATAATCATTAAGCCTAGGCGTAGACCATCAACTTTTAGTTGGCTGAGTCATAGTTTTTGGCTGCATGTAAGTACAGAAGAAGCCCGGCGCGCGCCGGGAACGGGACGTCAACATAATATTATTCGAAACCGACGCGCCTAACCTGCGAGCGGTGGTATATTTCATTACGTAACTCGCACCCTTCCTGGTTTTTTAAATTGAATTTTTCACTTGT